GGGTCGGGGGTGAGCGGTGGTGAGTGGGGGTGGGTGTGCAGCTTTGGAGGTCGGAGGTGTGTTTCGGGTGAAAGTGTCATTTTTGGGAAAATTGCGGCCCCTGGGGGAATGTGTGTGGGGGGGGTATGGTGGCCAAATTTTTTTTTTTTTTTCCTGGTTTTAGTGTTCGGGCACGTAGGTACACGTGTCCGAAGCCCAACGCGCGAATTTCGTTTTTTCGAATTCGACGCGATACCCCCGTTTTTGCGTTTAACGCGATTTAACGGGGGTCGGGGGCCCGTTAAACGGATGAATGCGCGTTCAATTTTTCGCGTTCTCCGTTAAAAAGATACACAGGTGCACAGTTGTCTTGTTTGTCAGAAGAATAGACCCTCGTATGAGAATCCCCTGGGATTATTGAGACGGTTCAAGTGAGCTAAGTGAGTCGATCTCTATTGATTTCATGAGTCTCACTAAGAGCCGAAATGACAACAGTCGGGTCATGGTCATTGTAGATCGATTTTTAAAGTATGCTATGTTCATTCCTTTGCCTGTTGAAGCTAAAGACTGAAAATGTCATCCAAAAATTTCAGATGCGATAGGTCTTAGAGGTGGACTTGCTCCTGGCCAACGTCAACTCATCACCGGAGGTTTTGGTCCCAAAATGCGACCCTGTAGGTAAGGGAGGAGGGGGTGCCGCCACCACACCTACTGGTATAACAAAAACTGATCGTCATCGCAGACTGGCTGATGGAAAATTTGAAAGTTAAATACACCCCTCGCATTGATGATTTATAGCACAAGACATCCTTAGAATTATTCCCCATGCTAGACACGAGCGCCTCACTCAAAAATATATTGGAAATTGGACTGCAATCGTGAATGCAGTGGACGGAAGCATGACACAACTGATTAGAATAGTTTTTGTTCGGTTTCAACCACCACATGCAACACCAACAAATGAAGTTGAGCATGACACAACCGATTTGACGAACATGACGAACACGGAACAGGCCCAGAGGTCTTTGGATCCCCCAGTTCTGCAGCAAACTACCCCGCTGCCGGGCCCGGACCCTTCGGACCCGGACGAGAGCACACCTTTGAACCTGGTACAAAAAATAAAACTTAGACACTTGATCGAGTTGGGTTGTGACTCCGGCCCCTTATCGCAGGAGGCTATACTGCTCATCCTTGTTCGAAAGAAAAATGAGAAATGGGAAGTGGGACTATCTCCGGTGGAGAATGGCATGCAAGGGGGGGCCATGCTCCAGGGCTGGTCATCAACTTGGACGGAGCCACAAAACAACACACTTGAGGCAGCGGCCGATATTTTGCAGATGCTTTTAGAAGACCATATTACAAAAAGTTTATCACCAGGAGCACATGCAATAGCCTCAATCATAACGGGTCCCAACAAAATAG